TATAAAAAGAAAGAACATTAGAAGGATCCACACATGCCTTATTAATGTCAACATCATCACTATCAGTAGAAGGCACATTAATAGGTATAATATTATCAATATCTTTGGCTTTCACTTTTCTTAAGTCAGGATGTAAAATAAAACAATCAACAGAAAAATGATTGTGAATTTTGCAATGATTACAAAAAAGAGGAACATTTTCTAATTTAACTTTCTGCATATAACCAAATGATTCAGGGCCAACCCATATTTCTTTTGGGTATATTTTGGTAATATCCATTTGAACAAGCACTCTGGCAATGGAAGGATGTGAACGAGAGGCAGTGGCTTGATCAGTTTTAAGAGAGAGACTAAAAACAGTGCCAATGATATGTAATACTTGGGGATTGAATAGATGCAACCTAAGATTAGGAAATGAGATCCTAACATAAACAATAGTTGGCTCCTTAATATCAACGAAGGGAGACCACTTCAGCACATGCATTTGACAATTGTTAATATACTAAGCTCTTCTAGCAAACATCCTATTAAAATCCAAGTCATTAGCAAGTTGAATGACAACATGTTTGACATCCAAAAGGCCAATAGAAAACATACCGAAAAGATTAAGCTTAACAAAAAACTAATGGATAGCATCAAGATTCGGTTGACACATAGGAAATTTTTGTACCAATGTAAATTCAAAAGTAGTTGCCAACTTATCCAAGACATCCTTAGAAAAAATAATAGCAAAAATAATAGCAGGAACCCCCTTATTTGTAGATTTCGTGTAGGAAAATGAAGAAGAAGAGCTCATACCAGCCACCACATCTTTGAAAGAATGCGAGTGAGAGGAAATACAACGAGTATAATCATCAAACAGACCCAGATTCTTAACTATAGAGGCATGTTTGGACGAACCCCATGGATTTGGAGGAGGCACCAGCATCCTGATGGAGCCCGAGCACCAAATTCCAAAAGACGACTTTGATACGACGAGTAGGACAAATGCTGGTTTGTGGTAGCTATGTCATTATGAGAACGAGTACTACCCAGACGAGGGGATTTTGCCTTGGCCAACGAAGGAAGCTAGAGTCGGGGGCAAACGCTGGACAAAACTTGGATATCATGAAAGAAATCGGGCATGTTGAGCTGTACTGTAACATCTTTCTTTTGGTTTAAACCCACAAAGGGGCCTACGCGTTAATCTGAAAAAAGGTACAATATCCTTAAAAGAATAAAAGCTATTTAAAAATACAGTATTTGAAGTAAAACCTATGAGCTTATGATCTTACCTAATGCAATTAGCAAAAGAAAAAACAAACATAGAGGCAAGAAGTCAACCCTCAAAAAGGAAATCCAAAAGATATTCAATGATACTCCAAAAACCAACTAAGAGAATCTAAAGCCCACAAAGCTCTTCCAAGAAACCACCATCCATAAGAAATCAGTGCAACATAGGCAACCAACCAAAAGAACCACATCAAACAACATCCAACCTGCAAAAAGACTATGACAGAAATAAGGACAACAAATGAAATAACAAATCGACGGAAGAACCGCTCCATGAAAGCCAAGCAGAGGAGAAAACACACAAACCCAGGCCCAAACTAAATAGCAAGAGAATAACCCCATCCAGAGACTGACCCCCCCCCCCCCCCCCAACACACACACAAAAGAAGCCAAAACACACAAACAACCCAACTAAACAAAATACTTGGATTTAGTAGAACAACCAACGACATTTTTGAAATGAAGCTTAATGTGTACTATAGCATCTTTTCTAGGGTTTGCCCACATTTAGGGTTTAGGGTTTGAGTGATTCCCGTTGCTCTTCAAGTCTTACAAGGTATTTTTTATGCAAGGTTTAAAATTGCGCAATTGGGTATTGAGGCGTTTTTCTTTCGTAAGGGAGGTTTAAAGCCAGAAGGCATTTTGAGTCGTAAGCCTTAAAATTCAAAAATTGTGTAAAGTTAAAACTAAATGTTTAAAAGTTATTTTTTATATAATACTCAAATAATATGTTAAATAATGACATATTAACTTTCTATTGAACTATGAATTAATAAATTTGCATATATAAATTGCTTAATAGAATTAAAATCCAAATATTACAAGAGCAAAACCACATAAATATAGAAATTACGTAAAAGTATCTTATAGCATCATATTCAACTCCATGTTCTTTCTTTCTCAGTTTCCCACTCATCAGCGTTTAATTTCTAAAAAAAGCTGACATAATTGATAATACCTCATAAATTATCTTCACTGTCATCACTGAGAGGTCTTTATTTGAGTCGTCATCATAACAAATTCGTCTCTCCCCTACCTCAATATGAGGCAGGTGGTGGTGATGTGCAGCTTTCAAGTGATTCCGGCGATGGATACAATGGTGGTGGCTACGACAAAGGCGATGGGCTGGAGGTCGAGGCGGTTGAGAGGAAGTTGTTGCAGCTTGGGGTTGCATGCAGACATGATTTATTCGGGGTTTTAGTTTAGGATTTAGGTAAGTTTTAATAAAACCAATAAGGTAAGGTGTGCCTCAAGGCGAGCCTCAGCCAAGGTAAAGCATGTAATATTAATGTTTTGGGTGTTAGATATGTAAATAACATGAAATAAAGTGGTGTGTGTGTAAATCTCCCTTTTTTTGGGATTCTAAATGTTATAATTTAACAAAATGCAATGATATTTAAATAGGAGTACATAATCAAATTAAGACATTAGTTTTTTCAATTAATTTTAATAATGATATGACAAACAAATGATAATGATAAGAATGACTTATTGATACTTTTTTGAATGCTTAAATATTGAAAATGTTGAATTTTCTTTGGGCTGCCAAATAAAGTTGGACAATTTTAGAAAATTTTAATATGACTCAACAAGAGGGCAACCCAATCAGGTACCAACAACAAATCTACAAGAGTCCACCAAACTATTAATTGAGCACACCAGCAACAAATTCCAACATTAATACTACACTGAAAAAATGATTGAGAGCTCTATTGGATCTAGAAATTCTGACTTCAGATGAATTCTTGTCATTTTTTTTCCTCTTTTTCTTACCCGAAGCAAGAATAGAATCATCTTTGACAATTTGTATAATATTTAAATCGACATCATTGTGAAAATTATTTTCATCAGGAGAATGAAGCTCTCCCTCTTTGCAAATAGACTCAGAGAGATTAGGAGGAACATCTAATATAGGGATCATTATGATTCTCATCAGAAAGCATAGCCTTATGATGCAAGCCCAACAAATTAGGCTTAGATATATCGTCCGGATAAATAGGAAAGAAAATTATGGGAATTAAATTGGAGACATCAATACTACTAGAAGAAGCATCAAAACCTACAAAAAGAGTTTTTTGAATGCAAATTTGAGCTTCAGGGACAATATTAGCATTCTCATCAATTGGGTTGCAATTAGCCAGTTCTTAAGGAAACTTAATTGGGCTATAATACCAAATATGATGCAGGACAAGTGCTAACTACTTCAATATGAACTAAATTTGAAAGGATATAGACAAAACCAAAAACTTTATAGATTCCTTATCCGATGTAAGTATGCAATGTCATAGACTTATTAATATAATCACAAGCATAATGAAAACCTTAATTTCTAGCCATGTAAACCAATCAATTTTCCTAACTAAAAGAAAGTAATAAAGAATATGACAAACTCAGATAATGATTTAATCTTTTGTAGGTTTTTGACACAATTGAAATTTGATTCACCTTCCGTGGGCTTTGGAAAAATTATTTTTTTATTAATAGATGGTATGAAAGCTTCACCTTAAATGCTCATGTAGCTATATATGTAAATCATAGAAGTTTCGTCCTCCCATCCAATTTGGGTTGTAAATTCTTTCTCCCTTTCTCACTGAAAATCTTGATTCCACCGTTATATATGATGTCACATAGATAATGCGCAACCAGTCCATATTAAAAAGGTTTATTTTCCCTAAAATTTAATGCTTCGTGTTATTATCTTCAAATACAAGATGTTCCTCCAAAATTTGAATATAACAAAATGACCTAATTTGGTCACATTTTCTAATTTTTGATTGATGACTATGTTTAATTAAAAATAGATAATTTGGATTAACTTGCTCAAGTGTCACTTTTTATATTAAAGTTAATGATGTTATGCTTACTTGTAATATAATATATTTGATATGGTTGCTACTAAATAATTAAAATTAATCATTTTATGTCATTATTCAGATCAATTTAATTTTTCATGTTTGTATGCTTGATGCATATTAATCAAGTCATTTCAAAAGTTGATGAAATTTTAACAACTTGCTATCATTCATTTTTGAGGATCAAGATTTTTCTTAGTGTTTTTTTAGTAGGATGAAACCAATTCCAAATATTTTTTAGTTAAAAGCTAGGTACAAGGCAGGTTGTAGATAAGTAGCCATGATGTTAGTTAAAGATTAAAATGCCACTGGGAAGTTACACATCATATGTCATGCAAGTAGTTAGTTAATATTTATTTTAAAGAATGTCATGTATCATATTCAAATTTGTGAGCACTCCCCAGGAAATGTGGGAATATCTTGATTTTCCAATATAACACTATTTCATGATTGGAATAAGTAAAAATTGAATCATACAAAAAAGGATAAACTGTGTTTTGGAGCACTAGTTCATGCTTTTTGGTTATGAATACATGACATATTATTAAATATCAAAATCATTTGATAAAAAAATATAAGATAACATAATTTTTTCATGGGACTAATAATGAGCTTTGAGTGTCATTTTTTCCTTCAAAATAATTGCTTTGCAGTTATTATACAAGTGTCTTATATTTCTGATTAAATATCTTTCAATATTATTAAATTTTTTTGGCCTTCTGATTAAATTCACTCCCCAACTGGCGCACGCACTCACATCTCTAAAGAGACACTGTGCTTGTCAATTCACTGTAAAGAGGGTGTGCGCGTGCTGATTATTTATGCAACAGGCAGAGTATAATCTAATTTTTTTCATTTTTCTATAAAATGTCTTAGCATGCAAAATGTCATCGAGCGATATAAAATGAACCTGGTAGACTTGAGCAGCACTAGCAGTGCAACTGAGCAAAATATTCAGGTAAAAAGATGAGTTCATTCCAACTAATTTGTTCATTTTTCCTTAAAATGCCTTTTCAATTTCTGTAATGTTTAGCCTTCAATGGTTAATTATGAGCTCGCTATTCTTTGCTCTGTCATTATTACTTGATTAAGAAATTGTTCCCAGCAATCATTTTTTGTCCTTGTATCTGTCGTTCGTGAAGTTCTTTTCCAACTAATGATCTATTTGCCCTTTCACCTTGTGGCACTAATTAGCATAACAGTGAGGTCAAGTTGTATAGTGGTGAATGCATGAAACCCACATAAATACATCATAAAAGAAAAAAAAATGTATGTAAAGAACATTTTCTGCATCAAATTTTGTGAAACTATATGTGTACAACAACATCAACAACATCAAGCCTTTATTCCACTACATGGGGTCAGCTTCATAAATCCTTTTGCTCTATTGTGTACTGTTAAGAGTCAAATTATCATTCAAATTTAATAAAAAAATATCATTTTTACTTTTTTTAGTGTAGTCTTTTTAGATCTACCAAAAAGAATATCATTATGACACACTTACTTAATTTCTCTATATTTCACACACTTTTATGCATTATATTTATTCTTAAAAAAATGAATCAGCACACTCATCCAGTCATTTGACATCTTTTAAATCTTTAAAATAATATTGAAAATTTTTGTAAGCCAAGAAATTCTTTGATCTCCTAAGCATTTTCACATCTCTATTGAAATATCATCATGTCCAACAGCTTTTTCATGCTTCGTTTTCTTTAAAGCCTCTTCAGTTTTACTAATACAACGATAAAAATAAAAATATCTATTTTCATTTAGGGTGATAAGGTCACTAAAGTCAGTTATATTATCACAATCTTCACTGAAAAATTTATCGAAATATCTCATCCACGTTTGTTGAATTTTTTTTCCTAATAAAAACTCTTTTTTATTTTCATCTTTGATGCACTTTATTTTAACTAAATTCTCACTTCTCCTATCTTTTTATTTGACTAACTTATACATATATCTTTCACCATTTGTAGTATTTAATTTATTATATAAATCATTAAAAGCTAAATTATTTGCATCGCATATTGCTTTCTTAGATTTCTTATGAATCTTTTTATATCTTTCTCAAATTTTCAAGCTTTTACATTCAAACTATTTTTATAACAAAGTTCTTTTATTTTTGATATTTCCTTGGTTATTTTGATTTCACCGTCAACTATTTTTACTCTTAGGGGTTTTCTTTTAAAATTGTATGTGTACATTAAGAGAAATACTGCACACTCCTAAAGAAATTTACACAGTAACAATCTCATGACACAACAATTTTCGTTAAGTAAAAGTGGGACATTTTGATTGTGCTGGTCCGTCTGAGATTGCTCCAACCATTGATTGGTCCACCCAAAAAAATTGGTCCAAATAATTTTTTATGTAGATTAATTTGTACGCAGAGTCGTGGTGAACATGTTGATATGATTTGTTTGAAGTGCAGCGTTGGAAGCAGGAAGCAGCTCTAAATGCGATGAAGATTGACTTCCTTGAAGCTTCCAATCGGTGAGGCTCTCGAGTTCGTGAATTTCCTTCTTCCTTCGTATTCCCACTTAAAAGAAAAAAAAAAAAAAACCTGATGTTTTCCTCTATGTGGTTGAACTTCTCATGACTGTTAAAACTGATGGTGCAGTAAGCTGATGGGCGAAAACCTGGAATCCTGCTCATTGGAAGATCTGAACAAGTTCGAGTGTCAGTTTGAGCAAGGCCTAGTCAATATTAGAGGAATAAAGGTTTGTCATTTTGACATTTCTGTTCACTTCCAGCATCACTGCAACAATTCCAGCTCATACATTTTTAACATAATTTCACTTTTTATTCTTCTAGTCTCGGTTGCTATCCCGGCAGGTAACACAACTTGAAGAGAAGGTATCTACAATCCATAAAACAAAAAATATATTTGAATTCTTGTTTAAACAGAAGTCTTCAATGTTTGCCTTATTAAATGCAGACGAGGGTGTTGTCAGAGGAAAATGAATTGCTACAGAATCAAGTAAGTTCACTTCACAAAACCAAGTTGCCTACAAAAAATTACGCTTAAATGATGAGGACATTTTTTTTTTGCTTGAAGTGCAAGGAGACCCAGCTAATCTTAGATTCCACCCGGTTGGTGGCTCTCGAAGACAACAATAATCAGCACAAGGATGTAGAAACCGACCTGTACATTGGATGTCCGGGAAAAAAAAAGATCTAATACTGCCAGAGAGGGTGACCATCTACAGTCTCAAATATTCAATAACAAAGGTTTTCTTCTTAAAATAACTCCACCAATTCTCTATAATAATTGGATGTCCGAACAGAATAATAGATGATGTAGTTATGTTTACATAATCTTCTATTCATCGAAGTTGCATAAAGCTGGTTTATTTTGTTTAGCCTGAATCGTCTACGAACTTAACTTGACGATAAACGTTAAAGGCATTTTATACATTGTACTTTGCTTTCTGCTGGCACAGTCTAGACAGAATTGAGTTTCTGGAGATGATAATTAATGTATATATACAGAGAACTGGTCTTGTTGCGTGTGCTTTAGATATGAAAAGAAATGGTCTTTGCCTCTGATAATTCTGGTGCTGTTTTGCCATAGGTTATGTACTGCTGCTCTTTGGGAAATGCTAAAAGCTTTGAAACTGATTGATGAATCTGTGCACATCTGGAACACAATCTCTGGAGTCCAACTTGATTAAAATTTGAGTCTTGATGGCTTTTTGTCGCTTCATTTGGGACGGCTATCTTATTATTTTTTAAAGCAGTTTTTTATTAAGAAGTAGTAAAAAAGACGTCCCAAATGAACCCATACAATTGTAAAAAAATTTAAAATTGGAGGGGGGAGTAGAGCTAGTGCTTTTTGCATGATCCAAAAATGCCAAACTAATTAATGAATCATCCAACAATTGCTTTCTATTATACCAAGTTTATATAGTATGTTAATAATTGACTTGAATCCAATGTTCAACAAGCAGTTTAGACTCATTGATAGATTTTGAGGGCAATACCTGCTGGAATTCAATTCGAATCTGTTCGAATCGATTCTGATTCAAATTAAAAAATCGAACAAATTTTAAATTTTCTCTATTTTTATCAACGGTTATGTTTTAGTAGCTTTTGGATTTAGGCCTCGTTTGACTAGGCTTATTTTCTCCTTTCTCCATCTGAATAAGCAGAAACTAGCTACCCTAACTGTTTGGAATAAAAGCTTAACCATAATTCCTTTTCGTCAAACTCCATTTTTTCTGTGGTTGCAAAATTTTTTTTGTTTTTGCTTATTCCGTCACAAAACGGAGTTTCAAAAGTAAAATGTCGGATCAAGCCCTACCGGCATGACCCCCGTCGTAAATCTATTATTTGATAAGAAAATAAATTAATTTTCCAACATTAAAATATTTTTTTGTTTAAGTTGAGTTTTTTTATAGAAGAATTAATTGTAAGTATAATAATAAATTAATATGATTTAAATTTTATCTTATTTGCAGTAAAAATTATATTGTATGTTAAAAAATTATGAGTTAAAAATGAAAACTTTTGAGATTATAAATTAGTAGATAATTAAATTTTTCTTAGAAAGATTTATATATATATATATATATAGTATGAAATAAATATGCTTTAATTAATATCTTACAATAAAAAGAAAAAATTTGGATGAATGCAGTTTGACCCACTCCTTCAAAATTTTTTTTTTTTTTTTAAATTTTCTTTTTAGGGTTAAGATGTAATTTTTGTATGCTTCATATTTGTTGCGGGTTGGTAAATTCGTGGCGATAGAGTAGGAGAGTTTTTTATCTTAGATTTTGAGTGATGCATGAATATAATTTAATGCATAAATAGATGATTTGAGATAGAACCGGGAAAGGGAAAAGTCACGGGCTTTTTTATGCTGAAAAGCAATGAAATGAATTTTGGTGCATTTGAGTTCGTCTTATTGTGACATTTAATTTGACTGTAAATTTCGTTGAGACTGGAGTTCGGATGGTCTTGAATTTAATTATAAAAATTTCTAATTAAAATATGCCTCAAGATTCGTGCCTAATAAAGGTGACACTAAAATTTGATGTCACACTATAAATGATTAAGATTAATATAAATTCTCTTAATTCCTCAAGTAGATGTACGTACTCTTAAAAAAGTAAGTTAAAATAAAATCGTATAAAAAATTTGTTCATGTAAAAGGATAATAATATATACATGAGTATATAGATAATAGACATCATTGATTAGTCATCTATCAAATATTTGATTATATCTACATGAATATATGTGTTTTTTTTAAATATAAAGATGCACTTGAGAAGTATTTCTTTAATCTATTCAATTTTGCAGTCTCTCATTGTGAGAGGATTAGGAGCCTTAACAAATCATTTGGGTTATTATTCAAACACTTCATCACGATCTATTTATGATGCAAGGGAGGCCCAACTGTTGGCTGATTAGATCTAGATCTATCTAAGTTGGTTGATTAGTTATGTTGAGATTATTACCTATTGACCTACTAATATTAAAATTTGATGTTGTGGTTTTCGACAAGTGTGTGCACCCTACTAAGGTTTGATTTAGAAATTTCAGTTCAAATTATTAAGGAGAGAGAATTTAATGTGTATTATTTCTTGAATATAGGTGCTTATAAATAGACATAAATGAAGAATATAAAATATAAATAAATAAAAGTGTATGGCCTAAATAATTTATTCTTCAATTATAGTCTTTCACTACAGGAAAACAGCCAATTACCGGCGGTTATGACCGGCGGTCTATGGACCGCCGGTATTAACGGCGGTATCGCCGGCGGTTTAGCCGCCTGCTTATTCCTGCTGATACCGGCAGCATTACCGGCTGTCTGTTCTGAAAGACCGCCGGTAATAGCGGCGGTCTATTAGCCGCCGGACAATTATATTTACCGACGGGTTAACGGCGGCTTATCCCGCCGCTGATAAGTTATTTACTTCCGGCGGTCGTAACCGCCAGAAAACTGTTGGTTAAAGCCCTAATACGAACATACCCGCACCTCGCATTTCATTTCTATCCTCCGCTCCTCTCTCTCCTTTCGGCCGCTCTCCGATCGCCTCTGCCCGGATCGAGCTCCTAGGTCGCCACCGACGAACTCTCTCCGACCGCCGACCACCCACCGGCCGCCTCTCGCTCGATCAACCTTTGGTGTCACTTGCCGCCGTTGATCTAGCTCCGGATCTCACGCCGCCGGCTACCCTAGGTTTCGTGTGAGTTGAACAAAAATCAGTATAATTTAAGGTAATATTTAACGTCGCCGTCTTAGACCGCCGGTAATAACCGCCGGTACAGAATTTCCTACGCCTAATTTTCCGGCGGTCACATACCCGCCGGACAACCGCCGGTAAAAATCGCCGATTTTGGGTGATTTTCCTGTAGTGTTTTTTCTTAATATTAATTTCATAATACACCAATAGTCCCACTTATAACCAAGAGGATATATATCTTTTAGATCTACCATGCTAATATATATTAAAAACCCACTCACAAGCCTACGCGTTAATATAAAATAAAATTACAAGTCCTTAAGAGGGATATATAGCTCCCTAATGCTCGAATGAGCTACAATCAAAAGCAAAATAAAATCCTAAGAGCCATAAATCCTTTTCTAGTTACAATCCACAAAAATCTTAGAAGAGAAAAACTACGGGAGGCTAAGAGCCATCACCTAAAAAATAGCTCAAATAGATATGAAAAATGCTAAGGAGCACAATCTGCAAATAGCAAAACGAACCACCTGCTTTTAAAAAAAAAAGCATATAGCATAATACTAAGAAACAAAAACCAAAGAAGAACAAACAAAAGGAAAGGAGAGGGGCTAATAGATCCAGCTCGTAAGCACCCACTAATCAGAGCAGCTACATGCAACAAAGAGCAAAAAATGTACAGATAAGAAACTCGGAAGAAACAACAGGCCAATCAGTAAGACAGAGCCATAATAAAACTAACAATGACAAAGCACAACTAGACTGCAGGTGCGACCAATCCCAACTAAGAACAAATAGAAAGTAAAAGAGGTATGCTTCTTGGTCTTGTATTTGTAAAGTTAAATGGTTAGCTGAGAACTTAATTCAATGGGGTTTTATTTCAGGCTTTTATTACTTTTGGCAAGATGATTAGTTGGGTTATGATTTCGTTGACACTATATTTAACACTCACTCTCCATCTGACTGGAAAATCTCTATTTTTATTTTGAATGGTATTGGGAATGGTGATCTTATCCACGAGCATGTGCCTCATTTTATAGCTGCTAATATTTGTGATATTCCCATTGATTTAAGCTCCAATGATCATTATTTGTTTAAGCTGTCAGCTGACGGTGCTTTTTCAACAAAAACTATTTGGGAGCATTTAGATTAAAATTTCCATTCAATCTTATTTATCACAATTATGGAATTGCATTACTCTTGCTACCATCTCTATGTTAACTTGAAGGATTCTTTAGGGTTTCATCCCTTTATATGATAGGCTTCAAAAAGAGGGCTCTTTTTTATTACTTCCAATTGACATTGTTGTGGTTGCTTGGAGACTCTGAATCACATTTTTATTGATGGCCTTTAGGCTAGGAGAATTTGGTACTTTATGGACATCACTTTGGGTATGAACTTGAATTTTATTAACACTAATTATCATGATATTCTTGCCCAATGTTTTTATAGAAACAAAACTAGTCATATTGCTACTATAGTTCCTATGATTACCTTTTGGTTGTTCTGGATTGAAAGAAACAACAGTAAGCATTCGAGCATCAGAATGAACTTTGATAGAATTATCATCAATCTTAAACACAAAGTTCAACAACTTGTTATTGTTAAACTGCTCGGCTCCAAACATTTTAAAGGGAAGAACAATTGGATTTCTTTCTTTCAAGTCTCTTTTTATAATCCCCAATTTGACATGCTTGTAATAATTATCACTTGGGATAAGCCCCCTTTGGATCGAGCTAAGCTCAACATTGACAATTCAGTTAATCGTTCAACCACTGGCTGTGGGGGTATTATTCATAATTGTAGAAGCTCAAGAAATTAAGTAGGAAGAAGAAGTTTGAAAAGGAAATAAGAAACAATGTTATTAAATCACCTTATTACATGAAGCCTACTGTCTGTATATATAGACATTTCTTATACAGCAGTCCGTACAGATATATTAAAAGAACATACATATTATTATCATAAATTACATAAAGACCTAATGCTCTAATACCCCCTTGCAAACTAATGGGTCTTCCACGACTGTTAGTTTGAGGCGTAAATGTTGGAACCGCGGTGTAGATAGGGACTTTGTAAAAATATCCGCAATTTGGTCGGTAGTGCTAATAGGTAGCAAATTTATGTTATGTTGCTGAATTTGTTCTTTGAGAAACTTTTGGTCAATCTCTATGTGTTTTGTACTTGCATGAAACATAGGATTGTTGGCTAGAGCAATTGTCGATATGTTGTCGCAATATAGTTCTGTGGGGCGGTCTTGATTGATACCGAATTCTACAAGAAGTCGGCGGAGCCATATGATATCCGAAGTTAAGGCAGCCAAGGCTCGATATTCGGATTCGGTGGAGGAGCGTG